GCTTGAAATATTTCTGTATATTAGCAGTTGCAAAAATTTAAAAAACTGGACGTTATTCAATGCAGCTGGTGTCTGGTGAGAAGAGCATGTAGTACAGTTCGTATAGGGGTATTTTGTAAGGGTAGTGTTCAGCTTGAAACCATAATTACAATATTTTAAATGATATAGTTGTTCATTACAGTATGGTTAATTTTAGTAGTCAAATGTGTAGAAATTGATGAAAAAACACTATTTTTTCTCTTTCTTCTTGTAGGAGTTACTGAGATTCTTTCTTCTGATATGTGGTCTTAAAGTTGTCCAGCCTTACCCTAAAAGCCACAGAGCATGTGTCTTCCAGCACTTTGTAAGGAAGTTAATTACAGTTCTAAGAAAGTTAATTAAGTCTTGATTTTTCACTTTTATTTTTCTTTTTGCCTTTCTTTTTTTTCTTTTTTTCTTTTTTTTTTTACTTGGTGTCTTGACATCATTGTTTCTTATAAGAACTCCAGAAGTCCAAAGGAGTTTGTGCAGGAGTGCAAGAAACAATAGATGATACGCGAGGAGTTGTATGATGTCAGTGGGTGAGTGGGGGGAAGAGCAGGTGAGGCAACCATAGATACCTGAAGAAATTGAAACAGGAGGTTGTGAGCTGTAGTGGAAACCACCAATTATGTGATCTGTTGGGGACAATGACATCTGGTTTGCCTGTGCTCTGGTATGAAGCTCTAGGCCAGCTCTAATCTGGAAGCCACATAAACACAAGACGGTAAAACTAAACATCTATGAATCCCAGTGTCTTGGCTTCAGCACTGCTCAGAAAGATTTTATCTAGCTCTATCAGAGTGCTTTTTGCCTCTCTTTACGTATACTTTTCTAGTCTTTAGCAGGAGCCTCCAATATGATTTCATTTGCCTGTTTGTGAGGCAAATTAAGTATATGCTGCTTCTCAGGCCTTGGTTGAGATACTCTATTAGTCTAGAACCAGATGGGTGTTAAAACAGTTATTTTACATCCAACTGCTTTGGAGAACAGGCTGCACACAGACAGCTCTCCAAAATTGTCTGTCTAGACAGCTTGTTTTTTATCGGGTTGCTCCACCTCTAGGCTTCTACACATGATCCTGTCACGATTATAGTGCAAGATAAAACTAAAGCTTCTCAAAACACAACAGGTCAAGGTCTACCTGGAAGAAAGAGTTGTGCTGGAGAAGAAATTGCAAGAATATATATATATATATATGTGTATATATATATATCTTTTTTTTTTTTTTTTGGCTGACATTTTGGGTAGAAACAAAAGGTAGAGCTTCAGGTCTAAATATTTCTGCATAGGGGTTGCCATCTTACAGGATCAGACTAATGAAGCTTGCATACTTAGGTAGAAAACATACTGGGAGTCTATCAAGAGATACTTATCTGGGATACTTACTTTCTGTTTCCCCAGCACATGAGAACTATTACATCTAAATGGTGTTAACTATATCCTTAACAAAATGGATACAGAAGTTGCTGTCTTGCTTGGTACTTCCCCAGAGGCAAGGAAGGCACAAGTCAGTATGTCAGATACTTTGTAGGTGTTAATATAGACTGAATCTTCAGATGGTGATTGGTAGGGCTGTTACAGATGTTTTGACCTAGTGGTGTGGTTAAAATCATGAATGCTGAGAAAAAAAGCTAAGGTTTCTCATACCCATAATGAAAAACTGATACTCTGTCTTGAACTGGTATTCACACAGGCATATGTAAAAATAATTAGTCTGCATGCACTCTTGGGTGGGTGGTATGTTTTTTTGTTGCTGTTAAGTCAGGGTGTGGGCACTCAAATTGCAAAAGGCATGTTCAAATTCATGCAGGTATTTTTGGTGGTTTTCTGTTTCTCAATGCTCCAGCTTCTTTAGCTGTAACAGGAGAAGTTGTTGGGAAGCTGCAGCATGTTGCTGTTCCTTGCACATGAAAAAGTTATCAAATTGCTTCAGGTCTGCTTCTGTGAGAACCTGATGTGCTGGTTCTGTTGTGGCTCTGATCTCCCTTTGAGGGTCTCTGAAATGAAACCCGTGTGGTGTGCGCAGCAGCTTTTGTCTGAACACAATAATAGCACTTCGATGGAGAGTTCGTGGTCTTGGGGGCATTTGTTTTTTGTTTGGTTGGTTGGTTTGGCATTGAACATAATGAACAAACTTGTATGCCATTGTACTGACACAGAGGATACTGTTTGGTTCTGCCTTGACACTTAGATAGGCTTACATTTTCAAACACATTTTTCTTGACTAATTTTGACAGCAATTTGGCAGTTGTGAGGAGGTTGATACAGTGTTTTTATTTGATATACTTAAGTGATGATTGTGGAAAAATAAAAAAACAATTTGGAATTAGAATCATAGAATAGTTAGGGTTGGAAAGGACCTCAAGATCATCTAGTTCCAACCCCCCTGCCATGGGCAGGGACACCTCACACTAAACCATGCCACGCAGGGCTTCGTCCAACCTGACCTTGAACACTGCCAGGGATGGAGCATTCACAGCCTCCCTGGGCAACCCATTCCAGTGCCTCACCACCCTAACAGGAAAGAGTTTCTTCCTTATATCCAGTCTAAACTTCCCCTGTTTAAGTTTGAACCTGTTACCCCTTGTCCTGTCAATACAGTCCCTAATGAAGAGTCCCTCCCCAGCATCCCTATAGGCCCCCTTCAGATACTGGAAGGCTGCTATGAGGTCTCCACGCAGCCTTCTCTTCTCCAGACTAAACAGCCCCAACTTTTTCATCCTGAATTGCAGTTTCTCATTTTAACTGAAGTTGGGCCTTAAAATTAGAACTTTTCAGGTATGTTCAGCACTGGGTAATCTCCTTTGAGGTGTGAATTATGGCACTTTAATTTTTTGTAGAGAAAACTGGAGTAGGAGAGTGGAGCAATAAGGAGTGAACCATTTGGATATTTTGCATTTGAGTGGCTTCTACAAATACGAGCAAGCAGGCAGGTGCAGTGAAGGCTGGTTTGATTTTTTTATTGTGAGATGAACTAGGACTTTAATGTGTTCACTGTTTCAGTAAACAAAAGAAGTTGATTTCTCCCCACCATACGACCTTACCATCTCCAAAAAAGTAAAACCTTCCCTCAAATAAACAAGGTGGGTTTTTCTGTTTGTTTGGTTTTGTTTTAACCTGGTCTGTGTCAGGTAATTTGCCAGTTAGTTTAAGTGCTAATCTGAAGGCTGTATAAGAGCTTTATTCAGTTCCATTAGGTCCAACTAAACTTTGTAATACAGGGGCTATTATCCTGCCAGTTGTGAGGAATTTCTGTTTTATGGAGCAGTGCTGACACAAAGACAGCACTGTGCAAGCCATCTCTATAACTGAACACTTTCACACTGCAATTTAGGAGGCGTGCAGTTCAGGAAATTGCTGGCTTCTGCTGGAGCACACTTTTACTGCAAGGAAAATTTTATTCGTCACTCAAGTAATTGGCAGTTTTAATACCTTGTTAGTAATTACCTTATAAACAAAGTAATGCATAAATGCAAGGCTCTGTGACCTGGTTTCTAACTCGCAGTCTTATTTGGCCAGTGGAATTGACACATGATGGTGGTGTTTGTTGTTGTTTTTTATTAAAGTAATTTGTTTCCATTTATTATAAATACTTTCAGCTAAGAGTTAAAAATATGCAGTGTACCTCTACCAGACAGCCTGAGGAATGAAACATGATACAAGCGCTGCGTTGGAGGGGCTGCAAGATCATTTACCCGTTCCCACATGTGGTCAGAAGGCCCATTAATCTAACTTCTGGTTCAGTTTTTGAGTCAGGACTTTTTTTGTCTTGAGCAGTAATCCCCCACACCCCTAAAATATGTGAGGGTTGTCCATGCTATTCTGAATGTCTGGCTTACTCTTTGATCCAGAGCAAGTATTTCCAGTGAAGCCAAACACCTAGAATCTGCATTCCTGTTGATAGTTTTACTGAAATTGCCTTTCCCTGCAATCTCTAGTAGTTGAGGAGAGCTCCTAAATTTTGATAATTCATCATAGTAGGCACAAAATGTACCACAGGCAGAATTGACTTGAGCTTCTCAAGGTAACAGGGATCATTTCAGGTTTCATTCATTTAACTGGTCATGATCTGTTTTCCCCTCTGTACCGTTAGGCCCCAACAACCAACCCTATTAATGCTGGTGATGTGTATGTATGATTCTGTACATTATGCAACTGGGATGGAAAAAATTGGTAGGTTGCTGGGTACAAACATGAAATAGGATCACTGGAAAAAGTGCCTTCCATTGGAAGTAAAAAAGGGGTGTTTGTTAGAGTAGACTAGGATACCAATGTCTTTAAACAGTTGAAGAGTTTTTGTTGTGGAATTGGGTGTGAGGCATAACTAAAATCTGACCAGACATGAAAACCAGAACCTCTGTAATGGGCAGAAATTTATTTTTTTCTGAACTCATTAGAAGAATCTACAGGATGAAATACTAGGTCTAATTGCAGAACTATAGAATGTTTTTCTGAGGGAATGCACTGTCATCCATCTTCTCAAATCTAGCTGCTTTTCTGGAAATTCAGTCTGATTTTCATGCTGTAGAAATTTTCAAAGAAGCAAAACGCCATAGCTAGTATGATGTTAACTTGATTAAAATAGAAAATGTCTCTAATAACATTTAATTACAATACTGTGACATACTGTTTAAGGCAAATACTGGGTATATGTACTGTTCAGGAATAGATGATCAGAGAGAGTTTTAAATCTTTCTTTAAAAGCCATGAATTGAAGCAATTGGATTATAATGCAATTCTTTTCATCTTGTCTGCTGGGATGTTTTAAGCAATGTTGGTGAACACATGTATTTAGAGCATTACAATTTGTGATGGCTAGAAATGAATGTTATGTCTAGAGCACATACTTTATTACTTTTCTTTAACTAGAAACTATTTTCAAGTGGGAGAATTCAGAACTAACTTTCGTCAGTCATGTGTAGTTAACAAGTGTTTACTCTGGAAATGACATTCTTTTGACTACTGTCCTTAAATTTTAGGACCAGCAACAAGATTGCCAACATCTTGTCTGAACACTTGAAGCCATTTCAGAGTCTAGAAACTTTGGACTTGAGCAACAATAACATATCAGAGCTAAAAATATCATCATTTCCATCGTTACAGCTCAAGTATCTGTAAGTAAAACTCTTTTTCTTTCAGGTTACTTTCAGAAAGACTTGCTGGAAAATTTATATTGGCAGCATTTTGTTAAGGTACTAAATCTTCTAATTAGATGCGCATCAAATGCTTATTCCTGCTTTCACCTATTGTTTAACATAAGCTGCTAACTTGAATACATGAGTTGTTGCAACAAGTTGATGAAACAAATAGATGTGTTTCTTGAGAGAAATAATTGTATAACAAAATGAACTTAAGTCCCTCATGGTTGAGCTAGTCTTGAGTTGCTTGGAGTTGGGTGGACTTTTTTGAATCTACCTTTAATTCTTATTCAGTAATGGCAATAGCAGTGCCAGAGCTATGCCGAGTGAGAATGAAGTAATGGGCTTGCAACATCATATCTTCTGCCAATAGCACACTCCTGCAGAATAGAACAAAATGGTGGTGGTGAAATACTATTTGACCATAGACTGAGCTGTCAAGAGCTCTAATTAATATGATAAATGAAATTCCATTTATGAAGGAGTAGGCAGTGCAAGGGCTTTGTGTTTCACTACTTGGTATTGAGAATTTATTAAATAACTGTAAATTTAACCTTCTAAACATTGTTTCAACAGGTACATTAACAGTAACCGAATAACCTCCATGGAGCCTGGTACCTTTGACAATTTGTCTACTACACTTCAAGTATTGAAACTGAACAGGAACAAAATTTCAGCAATCCCTCAAAAGATGTTTAAACTCTCCCATCTGCAGCACCTGTAAGTGCAACCTACAATTGACTAATTGTTTTCAGGTTTTCCAAAGCACTGGCAGTGCTTGAACTTTAGCCTTTAATTTAACCAGAGGCAGAGTGAGACAGACACAGAAAACATATTACTGCAACCCTTACTAACTGCAGCTTTGTGCTGAACAAAACTAGTCTTATATATTGGTGAGATGTGAATAGTCTTTGTGTCAAAATTGTGTTTGCCTATTAAAAAGGGGGGGGAAGGCTGGAAAAGGGGTCATAGCAGTATTCCTATAAGAAAGCATTGGAAAAATACTGAGTGAAGTAAACTTAGTTTGCTACAGCAGTCTCATTTATTTTGTGCTTTCATGGTGAAATGAGGGAATTTTTTTATTCTTTCACAGTGAAATGAATTAATTTGCTTTCAGAAGGTATGATGAGAAGCAATATGCTTGGGTAAATAGACCTCCATCAGCTTCACTGATACAATGCTGTCTATAAATGTTTTACCGAACAAATAATAAATACAGTTATTTAACATGGAATAGGCTGGGGAAGTATTTTTTTTTCTCTAAATAAAACCCCAAAACTTAAAGAGCACAGGAAGTTGACAAGAGGATGGACTAGGACTGCACTTCATTGAATCCTGAATAGCTATTTTTCATATTAGATAGTCAAGAGTTGAAGATGAACTCTTTTAGGTTAACCTTGGAAGTGAAAGGTTGTAAGAACAGTGAACTGTTATGATTCTGGACACATGGAAAGAGTGACTTGTGTCTTTTCTGTATACAAATGCAGGAAGAATTTGACTCAAGCCTCAGTAGAAGAGTGTAAGAACAGTCCTGCAGATAACCAGGGTTTGTTAGCAATCTTGGTAGACTTTCTGATCTTCAGATTCAACTAAAATTTTGGAAGTTGGTGGTACTCTTGGCTAAAAAAAGTTGCACTCCGGCAGGATTCCATCAGTAGGCTGAGCTAGTTATGTTGAGTAGTTAATCTTCAATGAAGGCCAAAAATTTGTGTTATCTCCTGAAAGAATTATTCATAGGAGGAGCAGGGAAAAACTAAAGGCTATTTTTACTGAGTGTTTTCCACTGCTTTTACATATTCAAATACAGAAGTGGAAGTAGGGTTCTCTGTTGGGTGTCTCTTACTAGGTAGTGTTTGTATCAGGCCATCAGAGAAGAAAGATGAATTCTTACAAGACTTAGATTCTGAAAAATAATTGTTTTATAACTATATAGAGATAATTATTTAGGCCTTTATTTCCCATTGGAAGTTTTGGAAGGAGAGGATTCTTCTTAGTTTGGTAGGATGCAGATTGATCTAAGACCTTCTTGAAGGGACAGATGATCACTCACTGCTGTATGAGGGCTTTTTCTTAGTATTGTCTAGTCCTTTATACTGTATATCAGTTGTTTCTAATAAGTAAACTATTAATTTAGCAAATGCTGGCTAGTCTAAAATTCACTGTTATAGAAAAGTTGTCATTGCTCTTCGTGCCTGTGTGAGGCTAGACTTCCATTTTATTGTGGCTCAAAGTCAGAAAGCTGCTTGGGGTTGGTGCAGGGTTTGGAGTTAAAAAGGACCAAAGTCAAAAAGGTGTTGTAGAGAGCAGGAAAATAGAAAATAATTGAGTATTACTGTGACTGTGGCTTGTCATTCAGCTAGTTATGCCTTATAACTCCCTTCCAGGATACACATAGGTCCCAACTTCTGGCCTACAAGGGCTGTGTGTGGTGGCCGAAGGGCGAGTGCCAAGAGCATCTGAGAAAGAGGGAAGAAACTGTTTGTAACTAATTGTGGAGAATGAGGGAGGAATGTGTAATGAATGCTTGGCTCCAGATTAAGAAAGAGAAGGATCACCCAAGATACTAAATTTTGCCCTGTTATCACAACTTAAAACACTTAACTTCTTTCTGACTGATTACTTATTTCAACTTTAAGATAACCTTAGCAGCTCTACTGCTGGATAAACACCAGGAAGGTGCTTTCAGTTTTGAATTTGTGAACAGGATTGACCATGACATTCTAGGTTTGCAGGAATTCTTTAAATCTGAAAATCAAGGAACCACCAAGGTCCTTGTCCACAGTATAACAAAGGCAGAATAGTGTTAGCATGATTAAGCATAATGGATTCCCATAAAATGTTTGATTTTTATTATATCTTTTTCTCTGTTGTTTTATACGCAAGAAAAGCATTTAAATAAGGTTTGTTTCCAGAGAGGGAAGAAAGGTTGCTGGTGTGCAGGTAAATTTACTTTGCTGTAACTGTACATTTTATTGATGCAGGGAGTTGAATCGCAACAAAATTAAAAAAATAGATGGGCTTACTTTCCAAGGACTTCCAGCATTGAAATCGTTAAAACTGCAGAGAAATGGGGTTACTAGGCTCATGGATGGCGCTTTCTGGGGATTGACCAACATGGAAGTCTTGTAAGTATCAACTTTTTGCTTATAAGTTATGCTGACAACATATTAATTGTACAAAATTAATAGAATTGCTTGATAAAATTAATTATGTATTTGAATTAAATTGTTCTAGTGTGCTTTGAAAAGCAGAAAGAAGTCATTGGTGAATGTGTAGGACAGCGCTGAACTGCATTCAACTCTGGATATAAATAGACACTGCAGCTACCTAGCCAGTATCATGAAGTCATATGTGGACCTGTTGCAAAGCACAAATGCCATGGAGTTTCTGAACATTGTCTTTTACCTCTTTGCATGTGTTTGTGTGTGTTTGTAGGCAGCTGGACCATAATAACCTAACAGAGATAACCAAAGGCTGGCTTTATGGCTTGCTGATGCTGCAGCAACTCCATCTCAGCCAAAATGCCATCAGCAGGATCAGTCCTGATGCCTGGGAATTTTGCCAAAAACTCAGTGAGCTGTGAGTAGCTTTTATTCTATCCCAGTTTTGAAAGCCAGGTACATGCCAAAGCATGAGCTTTCTACCAGTGATCTGTAAATTTTTCATAACAGTTTCCAAGGTGACAACAACTTTTTTGTATGTGAGACTGTGATATTTTGTTAAAAGGAGTTGAAGCCAACCGTGACTGCTTCATTTCACTATAGCAGTTGTACTAAAGCTGTAACACAGTCATTTTCAAATCGGAGAAATTCATTCTGCAGTAATTTGTGAATCGTTGGAAATGATACACGAGCTGTGTGGTCAAAAATGGCATAGTAGGTTTTGTGATACTTATAAGGGAAACAAACTTTATCCCCTGCTGAAAATTCACCTGGGTTGAACTGAGTAATAAGCACTGCAGCATAAACATTAAAATGTTTTTTGTGGGGTTTTTTTGTTTTTTTTTTTTTTCCCCTTGAATTTGCAGAGATTTGATGTTCAATCACTTATCAAGGTTAGATGATTCAAGCTTCGTTGGTTTAAGTGTGCTGGTTGGACTGTACATTGGAAACAACAAAGTAAATTACATTGCTGATTGTGCCTTCAGGGGACTTTCCAGTCTACAGACTTTGTAAGTTGACAAACTCAATTTTTAAGGTCAGAAACCTTAAAGAAAATCCTTGGTGCTTATAGATTAATTTTTTTCTCTCCCCCTTCTGTCCTTATGAAGTACACCAGGAGCTTTTGTTAACTTTCCTAGTTCAGCATGTGTTTTTCTTACAGTAGGATTTTTTTCTTCAGAATAGTGGGGAGAGGGAGGACTTCCTTTCATTAAGGCTGTACACAGTGGTGGTGGCAATTATGATAAAAACGTTTCAGTAGCATTATTATGGGGAAGACATGTCTCAATTCGAAGGCAGCAAGCAGCGCTCTTACCCACAGCTGTAGAGATCTGGATCATCATTGTGTCTTACTTGAATCAACATTTTCTCTCATGGTAGAAGTAAGAAGACAAAGCTCAAAACCCTGTATTACTGTGAATGCTAAAGGTTGTCATGACTGGGCAATGCTGTAAGCATTTAAGCATTTTTTGAAATAGCATTTCTTGAAGGGGAAGCAAGAAGTAAACTAATCTAAATCTATTCTGCTCCATTAAAATCTTCCAGTTGCATACCATAGACCCATCTGTTAGCCAGATAAATTAAATGCTTGCCTTTCCCTCTAGGCTTTGAAAATGGCCTTAACTCATTACTTTCAGGGATATGCACACTTTGGGCATGTAGCAAAGATGCAGTTCAGAGGGGTGTATGCTGTGGTTTATAAGTACACAGAGAGATATACGTCATAAAGAGAGGAAGTCTGACTTGGGAGCTGCCTAGGAATTAAGTGTCAGACTTTACCTCCTAGATTTTTTTTTTGCCTCTAGCCCTACCCTGTTGATTCTTTGCTGACACACCATTCTCTTCACAAATTTTTAATCTCCTTATACTTCACAGATAATTAAGCTAGTGTTCTGGATGGTGAAGGTTGCAAAAGTGATTCGCGTAGTGTATTCTCTGTTATTATGAACTTACAAAGGCATGAGTGTATTGTGTTTTAAAGGGGCAGCAGTTCATCCCTTCCCATCCAAAGATGCTCATTCTCTTAAGATATTCCTGTTTTTGAATACCCTTGTAGAGGAATGTGGGTTTGTATTCTAATGATTCTTAAGATTGCTGGCTGATCAGGTAAAGCGTCTCTTAAAAAAAAAACAAACAAAACAGCATCCTGAGCAAAGAAAATATAACTTACCAGAAAGTTATTTTAAATGTATTTTCTTTTAAAGTAATACATGCTCTTGAAGAAATACGAACTTTGTTCTTTCAAATAGCTCCTGTGGTTTGATATTTTTCTTTTTCTTTTTTTTTTTTCCTTTACTGCCTTTAAAAAGGGATCTGAAAAACAATGAAATATCATGGACTATTGAAGATATGAATGGTGCCTTCTCTGGCCTAGATAAACTTAGGAAGCTGTGAGTATTGCTACAGTATTTGTATCTCATCATTCCTAAAAAAAATTAGCATGTTATGTGTGTTCTAAGGGACAAGCCCAACACTTAATTGTGTTAAACTTTCCATAGCTGAGATGTTTGGGTTTGTATTTTTTTCCTCCCATACCATTTTGTTCTCTATAAAGTCTTCCTTTTCTATAAAATAAATTCTAGAATTTTCAAGTCGAACTGATCTGAAATATATTAAATATTACTGCTATTTATGGCAACATCACTTAAAGAATTAGGGTTTCCCATAATGGGAAGAAATAAGTGCATTATATAACAGAAGCATAGTGACAGGGATAGTCTTTAATAAAGTAATGCAGCATCCAGTGGAATTCCATCAACTTCATTGCATTGAAATTTTCAGATGCACATCAGTGAAATAAAAAGTTGCTTCTGTGTATACGATTAGAATAACCCATATCATTAAACTGTACACACTAAGTGGCTTCTAAATCTAGACGTTTAGTCAAGAGGAATAAATCAGTGTCTTTTAGAGGTGAGACGTTTTGCTGCATCGGGGAAGGAAGGTTGAATGGTGACTATTATTCACAGTTTAGAAATAAATACTAAAAATGCTTCCATTTTATTGCATCTTTTTTGCACGTGTACTTACATTTTTCAGGGTACTCCAAGGAAACAGGATTAGATCCATTACAAAGAAAGCATTTTCTGGTTTGGATGCGCTTGAACACCTGTAAGTAGTAGAAATTCACATTTAACCCAACATTGGAAAATTTTTTTTTTATACTAATTGAAATAAAAGTAGGACTAAGAAGCTTTATTTATGACTCTGCATGAAATACACTTACCCTGCTTCCTACTGTGCTCGTGAGAAGATTCTTTATTTTGGAGTTACGCTGAATATGAATTTTGGAATCAATGCAGAAAGTGATATGTATTAAGTATTCTATAAACCTCCTTAATCCTATCTCTAGTTTTTGAGCCAGGGCATCCTTTGTATATCACTAAGGTAGCAAACTATTCCTTGAGTCTTAAATACATCCAGTGTAATAAATTACTCTTTCTTCCTCTAATGTTCTTTTCCTTTTTTTTCCCTAGAGATCTAAGTAACAATGCAATTATGTCAGTTCAAGGAAATGCATTTTCACAAATGAAGAAACTCAAAGAATTGTAAGTTTATATCTAAAGATGTCACCTCTATAAAATTTATATATCCATGTAAATATATAAATAAAAGCCTTGTGAGATACAGTATCACTGTTTATCACTGATACAGTGATAAACTCCCAGTGTAATCTCTTTGAAGTCACATAGGGAAGGGTATGTCAACATTTTGTTTTTTTTATGTTTTATGTGATGACTGCATTTAAATGAGAGAGTATAGGCCAGGAGGTGTTCATTTTCTGCTACATTTGCCGTCCTTATTTTAAATCAGCTGATCTCAAATAGGTAATAGATTAGGGCGACTTTGATGTAACGTGCTATAAGATCAGTAGTGCTGTTACTGAGCTAAAGCTTAGTGGACCAGTGAAATGCAGTGCTGTAATTCTTCTGCAAAGACCTGGTTGTCAGTGCTTGTAATTGGGTCCTTCTGTCCTGTAGTAGCAAAGGGGCAGATATTCAGAGAAGTCATGAAGTGATACTGGGAAGAATGTGTTCTTCTAGTGAGTTTTGGGGTTTCTTTGTTCTTTGACCCTTTTTTTTCAGTTGATCAACACAGAAAAACAGTCACCGTTCCACGTGTTTTCTTCCTCTTGCATATATCTTACATCTCCTCTCTTTCATATCAGCCTTCTCTAGTCAGATCTTTTGTCCTGAGTTGCTCTGTAAATAATCTGACAAAAACCTAAAGAATAACTAAAAGATGTTGCTCTCATTATGAGTAGAAACTTGACTGAAGCTTGTCTGGAACTTTTAATTTGTGTTCTCCAGACTCCTGTGAAATATCACCCTAGAAGTTAGCTCCCTGCTTCATCTTATGATATTACTCTTTGTTCTGTGCCATAGAGAAACTGACGAGCCTTGGGTGTTTCATGGAATCATAGAACAGCTCAGGTTGGAACAGACTTCAGAAGGTCATCTGGTCTTTTGTGAATGAATGTAAATGCTTTTTCTTAGGCACTTGAACACATCGAGTCTCTTGTGTGACTGCCAGTTAAAATGGCTACCACAGTGGATGTCAGAGAACAACTTTCAGAGCTTTGTAAATGCCAGTTGTGCCCATCCTCAGTTGCTAAAAGGGAGAAGTATTTTTACTGTCAGCCTGGATGGGTTTGTCTGTGGTGAGTATAGTCTTATATTCCTTCATTCCATAGAACAAATATTGCTGAATGCATTGATTTTTATTGTGGTTTCTTTGATACATTTTGGTTTCTCTAATAAAATGGAAAGGATTTAATATTTATTAACATTTTCTTCTCTGTTCCCAAACTGTGATGTAGATGCTCAAAGCTTGTAGCTTTGTACGAGATGGGGACTGACTGTTTTCTGACTTCTATTTCATGTACAGTTTGCCTACATAGTATATAGTATGGCACACAAAGGAAAGTTCAATAGTTTGTAATAGTAAGTGTATATGCCCCTAAATTTAAAAGATGGATATTGTTTAGATAACTGTCGTTTTCAAGTGAGGCATATTTTGGCAAACTTGGTGCAATTTTTGTTTTTGATTATTTGTAAACTATATCCATACTTTATCTGTCTCAAAATTATTCCAGAGCTGAGAAAATCTGAAGGTAAAATAGCTGTAATAGCCTCTGCTCTGACCTTTTTTATGTGTGCTTGTTGTCTACTTTAAGAAAATAATTGGACCATGTGAGTTATTGCCTGTAGTAAGCTATATTTTAAAACATCTGATTACCATAGCACTGACATCTTGTATTTCAGTATGCCAGATAGTAAATGCTAGTGAAATATTTTTACTTTAAGACTTGAAAATTTGAGATGATAGCAAATTTTCTCTATTTAGTAATATTCACTATCACCTATGTTGCGTTCTCTATTTCAAAGTGAATCTAAGCATTCAGAGTAAAAATGTGTGAGTCCTCTTGATACATTAAGTGAGAACTTTGAAAATATCAAGAAATAAAAAGCTAATTGGATCTAATGTATTTTGTTGTATACATTTTTTTCTTGCTACTAAAGGAAATTCAAACTTTATGTTATTTAGAGACGAAACGGTAGCCATATTTGTCTTACTAACTTTCATAGCAGATACGATTGCTTAATTGTTACTGTTCCTACTTGTACCCTTTTGCAGTGGCAAAGCAGGCACAGAATAGAAAATAGCGTACAAAAATGTTGTTTTCTCTCTTCCTATTAGCAATGAAATTTTTAATATATTAATGTTAAATAGTGAATAGATTGTGTATAATCTACTGCTGAAAAGGAAATGTTGACAGGGTACAGGAAATTACAGATTACTGAATAGCTAATGGAGTCTATATGAAGTATAAATCCTTAGTTATGAGAAACTCTTTCTGGCAAGAAATTAAATTAGGGGATTTAAATATATATCTCTTATTTGTTAAACCATGGGGGATTGTGATCTTTCTGTTAGCTGCTGAATGCCAGTTTTAATGAATTAATTTCAAACCCCTTAAGATGTATTAGCAAAAAGGGATGTACATTTAATACATAAAGTAATTATCATGCAGAAGAAAGTAGAATCTCTTAAGACAAAAAACATTGCCAGTCTTATCCTAGAGTGTTTTTCTGTATTCTGTAGTATGGGCTTATTTAAGTGACCTTTTCATTCCCTCTTTCTGCCAAATAATTAAGGTTTCAAAATATTTTGTTATTCCATTGATAGTACAGCTAAAACAGAATGAAGTATCTTCTGTCCTTTCACAAGGGTAATTTAAGTCCCTCGTGACAAACTATGCCATTTGCAAACTGAGTTGATAATTTCACTGACTTTGCGCAGGGATAACAGAGTAAGACGTCGTAAATACTTAAGTTGAGAAGCATGGAAACTAAGTGACTTGGGAGATCTATAAGGCCCATGCTTAGTGTCCCAGATCAGGGGACATGTTGCCTGGTTGCTGCAACACAGCTCCAGACTTGCAGGTGTTTTGCAGGCAGCTCGAGTTCAGGCTGTCTACACATCTCATTCTCTTTTGTAATACACAAATCAGAGGAAATAATGCTTTGACCTTGGTATGTTCCCAAACAAGTGAGATGTAAGGAAGCAAAGGGGCTAGGGAACACCTGACTCTGCAGCGCAGGCGTGGTCTGTGTTAAGCAGTATTTGGAGCCTGGGGCTTTTCCTGCAGTATAGGAAGTTTGGGTTTATGTCTGTCAGGAGGTTGGAGACATCTTGAAAATGGAGACTATGCTAAGGCTTTTTGTGAGACCAGTTATTTAATTGCCCCCTCTTTTTGTACATATAATGTACACAGAGTTGACAGAACAAATAATTCATAAGGCAACTAACTCTGTAAACTCATGAAATGGCACTTTGAAGATAACTTTTCAACAGCAAAGGGACCTCCAAAAACAAATTTGTTGAAATTCTTTTATGCTGCCCTGGGATATTCAGCACTGCTGTGTTTGTAAGGTGGACCAAACAGCCACAAATCACTAGAACAGTGACTTTTGTACATGATTGTTTTTTGTGGGTTTGGGGAAAACCCTTGACTTTAACTTGCAGTTTGTGATGGCAGAAGAGCTATGCTTTCAATAAAGAAAAACTAACAGCAGCCTGAGGTGTTGTAAAGATGAAGGGTAGGCTTCATGACTGACATTCATAATTGTTCTTAGGGATGTCAGGGGGTAGTGCTTTCCTCTTCGGTGCTGCTGTTGAAAAAACTGTACACACAGTCTGCTTTTAAATGTGCTTTCTGTTCAATAACAGATTACTTGGCACAATAAATTCTTAAATATGGCATGTATAAATGCCCTAAGGCTAACAAAATCTGAAAAGAAAGCATTATGTATCCATTTTATAAATATTTACCTGCCTCTTCTCTCAAACTTATAAAACAAGACTTAAAAATGCTTACTTAAGAGTCCTCAGGCCTCACATATATATTTTTTTTCCTCTTCCTCTGTGTTCCTTTTCATTTTCTCCCTTCCATGCAGATGACTTTCCTAAACCACAGATCACTGTCCAGCCAGAAACCCAGTCGGCAATCAAAGGCTCCAATTTGAGTTTTGTATGTTCAGCAGCCAGCAGCAGTGATTCCCCAATGACTTTTGCATGGAAGAAGGACAATGAATTACTACAAGATGCTGAAATGGAGAATTATGCACACCTCCGGGCACAGGGTGGTGAAGTGATGGAATACACTACCATCCTTCGACTGCGCAATGTTGAATTTAGTAATGAAGGGAAATACCAGTGTGTTATTTCAAATCATTTTGGTTCATCCTACTCTGTCAAAGCCAAACTTACAGTAAACAGTAAGTATGTTACTTTTTTGCTTGTGAACTTAAAGTAGAAGGATTTTAATCAAGATATGTAAACATAGTTTTTCCTGTCCTCATACTCTGCATCTTTTAGAAGACCCCTTAATAAGATGAGGTTATTTTTTTTTAAATATATCTAGTTCTAAGATCATAATTCAGTTTTAAATCTGGCCCCTTTGTGCTTAACTGTAGTATAGGAAAAAGCAAATAAGAGACCCAACTCATAGTAAATCTGACAAATTGTATGTAACAAGATGAAAAAATATTAATCTTTTCTTCACAGGAAGTCTATACTCTGTTGCAAGGTATGATGGAAAGGTCATGTAGTAGGCGGCTGTTAACAGAAACGCAGTTTTGATCTAGGCAGTCTCATACAGCTCCCTCCCTTTCTGTTTGATGGCTACTGATAAATTGAGGTTGTGTGCTTCTCTGGGATTTTTAGGCTCAAGAAGGGTGTTAAGAAAATGCTTGAAAAAAGGGAAAAGTATGTTTGATTTATTCATTTTGGTATCAATAACTTCTCTGTAGTGCTGCCTTCATTTACGAAGATCCCCATGGACTTAACCATTCGTGCTGGGGCAATGGCACGTTTGGAATGTGCTGCAGTTGGGCATCCTGTCCCACAGATTGCTTGGCAGAAAGATGGTGGAACAGATTTTCCTGCGGCACGCAAGAGGCGCATGCATGTCATGCCTGAAGATGATGTATTCTTTATTGTTGATGTCAAGATTGAGGACACAGGTGTTTATAGCTGTACAGCTCAAAACACTGCTGGAAGCATTTCAGCTAATGCAACATTAACAGTACTAGGTAAGACATTAGCAATCCTTACTGGCATAATCTCCTTTTAAAAACAGCAGTTGATTAAAAATAGCAATTTTATGGAAGTGCAGTTTAGAAATAAAAATACTGTAATTTGTATTGACACATAGATGAGAAATACGTACTTCAGCACACACTATTGTGATGCAAAATAATGAAGTTAATTACATTTCTCAGGGTGTACACAATGTTTGATATGTGGGGCTGCTGGAGATTAGAGATTTTCTTTAACTTGTTAATTTCGTTATGTTTTGTTAAAAAATGTCATGTCATTCTCTGCAATCTTGAGGATGTATGGTATGGCTTTTTTACCTTCTAAGGTAATCAAGTGTCTTGGTATGATCAATGGGCAAGTAAACTAGGCTCTAAGATCAGATTCCTAAGTGTATTTTTTTTTGAGAATGAGAGTATACTTCATTAGGCCTTACTGATGCATTTAGTTTAGCTTTTCCTCTTGAGATGTGAAGGAAAAGGATGTGTTCCCATTCTTGCAAGGTCATTTAGAATATAAGGCTTATGCTTGCTTTTCAGAAACTCCATCATTTTTGCGGCCTTTGCTGGATCGAACTGTAACAAAAGGTGAAACTGCAGTTTTGCAGTGTATTGCTGGGGGTAGCCCTCCACCCCGATTGAACTGGACTAAGGATGACAGCCCTCTTGTGGTAACAGAAAGACATTTCTTTGCTGCGGGCAATCAGTTGCTAATTATTGTGGATACAGATGTAGAAGATGCTGGGAAATATACTTGTGAAATGTCTAATACGCTTGGAACGGAACGAGGCAACATCCGCCTTAATGTAATTCCTACTCCCACCTGTGATTCTCCTCAAAACATTGCCCCATCACTTGATGATGATGGATGGGCCACAGTGGGCATTGTGATCATAGCTGTGGTTTGCTGTGTGGTGGGCACTTCCTTGGTGTGGGTGGTCATCATCTACCACACCAGACGGAGAAATGAAGATTGCAGCATCACAAATACAGGTGTGTAAACTGAAGGCTTCCCTTGGAAGGGAAAAAAAAATACTTGTGGTTGCTTTGCAATGACTTTATTGTAGGAATATTTGTGTGCTTTGACTCAGAGTCTGAAGAGTGAATTACTTGTTACCTTCAACGCTTTGCTGACAAGTCTAAAAGTGCTTCTCTTAAGTGTGATGGCTTTTGTGTGTGTTTTGCATCTCCACAGATGAAACAAATTTGCCTGCTGACATTCCAAGTTACCTGTCATCCCAGGGAACACTGGCCGAAAGGCAAGACGGATATGGTTCATCTGAAAATAGCAGTCATCATCAGTTCCTCACGTCTTCTGTGGGAGGATATTTCTTGCAGCAGAGGGACAGTAATGGTAGGTGTAAAATGCTAAGATTTTCCATGTTGCTTGAGTAGCTGCAGGTTAGCTATTGTCTTTCTAACTAGTAGAAATTACATTAAGGAAACACTGAAACTTAAGTGAGGATATGAAATTCATTGCTTGGGATTGCTTCAGTGACATAATAGTAAGTAGATTCTGGTCATCCAAATGATGTTATGGCTTTGCTTAAATCATTATGTTATTCTCTAGTCTTGACAGTAAATCTAAATCTTGTTTCCAAAGCAAGAGTGTCCAAAAGGAATTACAACAGCAAGTCTTCTTCTTTTGTAGCTTAGAAAGGATACTTTTAATGAAGTGTAGGCATGGTTGGTAATATCGGTTCAGTTAAACTTTCCTATTAGAGAAATTATTAGGGTCAAAGTCAATAAAGAATTTAGGATGACTGCAAGTTAAAAGCTGCAGTACCTAATAGTTGTATGCCCAGCACCTGAGAATCCAGAACATACGTGGGTTAGGGCGGAAAAGGCACCTTGCTAGAAAAGGATTGGGGTCGAGATACACTCAGGAGTTGGGGCAGGAGGGAATGGAGCAGTGATGAGATAGTTTTGCAGTATAGTGAGAGGAGTAGCCTCTTTGCGTCCAGTGTCCACAGCCTTCAAGCGCCATTGATCTTAGAGTCAATATAGCTGCTCGAGCAGTGAGTAACTCCCTCAGATTCTGCTACCTGAGACTTGCTTATTAAAACTCTTCTCTGAAGGGTGGCTGTGTGGCAGAGCATGAGCCTGGCTTCCAGTGCTTTGGAGGAAGTCACTCCCTGCTTCTGATCCCCGTGATTGCGTTTGCTCTGTTGTCCAGAAACTGTAATAAAGCACATCTTAACACTTGCTTGAACTAGAATTCTTACCAAAAGATTAGGTTAAACTTAAACAAGTTCTAATACACTATGAAATTTAGTTAGATAGGGTTCTCGAACAAAACTTAGGAACCTATAAGGTCAAGCTTAAGGAAAGACCATACACTGACATGTCAGTTTTATTTTTAAGGCATTTGCCACCTGGATAATGGCAGTGAAACAGACTTGGAGGGTGTTGCAGATCCGTTCCTATGCCACTATCTGGGGACTTCAGGGACCTTGTATTTAAAAGGAAACACATACGGCTCTGAGGCCTTTGAAGCATACAGTGCAAGTAAGTTGGTAGCAGGTGGGTGTTCTAGTCCTGATTCAAACTTGTGCTATAATGAATCTGTATAAAAACAATTTTTCATTTTCTTTAGGTTGCAGCCCTGACCAAAGAACAGCATGCCTGGACCCTTATGAGTCTGGATATTTAAAGAAAAAGGAATGCTATCAATACTCACCTCCCCTGGAAGATCCCTTTGACCAGTGTGTTGGCATTATTGGGATGCAAGCTACAAGTAGCAGATTGATTAACTCCATTTATACTCAAAATGAAGGAACTGGACTAAAAAGCAGAAGTCTGAACTCAGACACATTTGATTTCAACAGAAGTTTGGAACCCTCATCTATTATCAGTAACAGCACTTTCATGGGTATGTTTTAACTATTGTTTTCTATTCAAGTTGCTGGCATTCTTGCTGTCTTGTTTCCTATTTCCAACGTTAAGCACAACTGATTACTCAGCTTTTTTCTTTCCCAGTCCTACAGTAGGTAATTCTGTAGTTGTGTTTAGATGCTCATATAGCTCGCATTGTGAAAAAAACTAATTTTTTACAATTTTGCTTGAGCTGCTTTTTGTGGGTATCTGTGAATTTAGTAAGATAATACTGCATGTGGAAAAGAAATACTTTAGAAAGGAGGAGAGGAAAGACAGGAAGTAGCTGAGGAAAGGCAGTTTGAGAGTTCTCCTTAACATTTTGCATGTGTTTTTGGTTTGTTGTTTTCTTCTCTGCTCTCTTCCTCCCTGAGTAACTGGTGATACCATAGTATTTCTTTTCCTAAGGCTCACACAACTGAACTGTACATGTAGGCTGTCTCGCCACTGCAGTGCATGAGGATAATTGGATGCTCCCAGAAATCAGGGTCCTCTCTGGATCCTGCCAGAAGATAGATGGGAGATTTGCCCTATCCTGTGTTGTAAATGGAGCAGCTTGGGGATAGGTCAGAAGCAGAACTGACCCACGTCAAAGTATTCAGGTCAAACATGGTAGTCAAGTGAGGTGGTTCACCTCTGGGTGTAACTGTGAGCCCTGTTCTACTTCTCAGGAAACCTAACATATAAGAACTGTTAAATACAACGTCCCAAATGTTTGAAGTGAACAGGAACAGAAAAGTGATTACAGTAAAACTGTAATGAGCATATTTAGATTATCAGGAGATCTTAATAGCTCACGTTTACATAAAAATCTCATCAGTGGTGTGATTCTTATCTTCTATCTTAATATAGCTGGCAGATTTCCATAAATGCTAGGATACTTACCGAAATACACCTTAACAAACTTACAGGCATACCAAAATACATTTAGTATGCCTGAAGGTACATCCTGGGACCTTTCACATGAGGCAGAAGGTATGCAAGGGCTCAGGAGAGCTCAGGGCCGGTTGGGAGACTTGAACTCCAGTATGTGAGGATATATTGTATAACATGATGAGCCAGAACTGTTTACTCTTCAAAGTCAGGCACTGTGGAAAGGTGCCCTCTCTACCCCTCCTTTGTTGTCTTTCTCATGGTGTGTATGACAAAATAGCTTCTGAACCTTAATTCAGGGCTTACAATTTTAATGCAGATTGCAGGGAGAGGTAAGGGGAAGAAGAGCATTACTTTACCTTTGAAATTCCCTAAATTTTGGATCTTGGTATGGTTGGTTGGTTTAAAATTCATATAAACCCACATACTGCTTTCATCCCCGTGATATCTGTGCACCAAGTGCAGCCCTAGTACCCTGGATTGTCTCCTGTCTGGTGCGTCAGCATGGTTGATCAAGGCCTGGGTCTGCTGGTCCTGCGAGGGAGCCAGGGGAGAATGTGCATCACTGGGCTCTTTGTTCTCAGGGGGTGGGGAGGGAGGTATGAGTTCTGAAGTTTTCCCCCTTCGAAATCCAGATGATTGGACTGTAAAACGTTGCAGATGCCATGACATCTGGCAGAGGCCCTGGAACTACACACAGCCTCCTGGCTGCCTGCCACTATTGCTGTGGTGGGACTGTGCAGATAGGGCTTTACCACGTCTCCTGGAGAAAGCAGTTCTACTATATGTGGGTATACCCAGGAGTTAATCAGCCTCAAGGGTTCATGTTTCCGTCTCCCCTATAAATCTATGCACTGCTACTTCATAGTGTCAGTTCTCTGAGGTACTGCCCCATCCAACTTATATCATTGTTGCTGTGGGTGCTTCATAGTCAATTAGCAGTCATCACTCAAATAGCCTATGGTTAGATCTTGGAGGTGGTGGCTTTGGAAGAAGTCATGATAGATTTCTTGCCTTCAGTTGTGGATTTGCTTCTTCAGCTTCATTATCTTCAAATTCAGCCCGCTTTTGCCTCTAAAATCACAATTACAGCTGGAATTCACATCGCTGTTGATTCAGGACCCAGAAAGTTCACAGTTTTGGATTTCTTTTCTTAAAGACAGGATTCATTTGTAGCTTTGGTGCTGTGAGGAACATATTTTCATACTGTGTCAGGAGCCAAGCTGCTCTGTAAATCCTTGATGCAAATATGGACTTTGTCCAAATTCTGTCCAAGTCCATTTTTAGTAACTTCTCAAATTAGTTTTACTTGAAATCTTTGCTTCTAGCAACTAAGCAAAACTAGAATTACCGCTTTTTGGGTGTAAAATTTATTAACAACTGTAGTGTTAAGGTATTAAATAAAATCAGAGTTCTTCAAAATCAGCCTGTACCACATTGTCTTCTGAAAACAAGTCTTTTGAGGGTCATTTACAGACACTATGACTTGTGACAGCCATATCTTTCTTCATTGAAAAAAGAGAAGGCCCTTCATACAGAGGTGTTGACACTCACACCTTCCCAGTGGTAAAGAGTGACAGGCACTCTAATTATTTTCTGGCTAGTGAATCCATATCATTATTAATAAAGGTTCAACTGATATGCCAGTTTTTCTTTGAGCTACATCTGTTCTAGCCAGTTATGGGCAAAGAGATGATGAACAGGTGTGAACGGAGATTTTGACTGGTGGGACTTTTTATTATTAATGGGAGATGCTAGCCATTAAAAGATGGTTGTAGCATTCGTGTTGCACAGTGGGAGGATGTTGTATAATCCTACACATGTTGAGGTTATATTTTTTTAATATATCTTTTTATTTTTGCTGAACTGCATGGCAGATTTCATGTGCCATTTATTCACTGAAGAACAAAACAGGGAGACTGTTGTGACTTTTGCATTAAAAAGTGCCTTGTGATAGATATGTGTGCAGTTTGGTTGGTGTGCTCACCTTCTATCTCACCACCCTTCCCAAAGACAAATGGGAATGGAATAGTCATGAAAACAACTGTAATAAAGTTATGAGTGGCTATACATTTACTTTGGAAATGTTTTTAATGTCTCAGGTGTCATAACCTTGCCATATGCTTGTGATTCCATGGATGTTTTCTTTTAAGGGGTAAAATAAGTTGAGTAAAATCTCACCTTGGTGATCTGCTTGCATTAAGGGTTGCATTCTGACGTGCAGCCCTTAGTGAGACAGGTAACTGTTAGATCAGTGTTTCTTGTACTTACCTATTTACTGTCTTTTCAGGAACATTTGGAAAGCCTTTATGGAGGCCTCAGCTGGACTCTCTCTCAAGTTGTAGGCAGCCAGTGAATTGCCAACCAAAACCTTCTTGTAATAATCCTCATGCCTCAGTGGACTTAGATGCAGAGGCAGATGAAGATGGAAAGGAAAGGACAGTTTCTAGAGGAGAAAATAGCATTTATACTTACAAACAGTCCTTTGAAAACTTTAGGACTTCTACTTTTCAATCCTGTGATTTGGATACATAGCTCCTTTTGGACCTGCCTTTGATTTCAGGAACCAAAGACATCCTTCGACATACTACTACCTCAGTGTGGAATTTTATTTAAAAAGGTTATAAGGAAAGGAAGAAGGGAAGAAAGAAACCACGTGATGCTATGAATTCAGAGCAAAAGAAATGCATTTTTGTTCAAATAAAGCAAAATTGCCAAAATGTGCTACATTTTTATGCAGGAAAGACAATATAAAATATTATATTTCTAATTATTTTATAGCTTTGTTTTATGCAAATAATATCTTTTGTAAATTAATGGTGTAAATAATACAGCATATGTATTTCTATGTCAGACTTCATTTTATTGAGATGAGTAGTAAGCATTCTAATTTTGTACTGTTACTTGTACCTTTTTACAAATGGAAACTCCATGCTGTTTGCAGGTATCATGCATCTTATTTGCACACTACTTTTAATAAAATATGCTGCCATGTTGTCTCACCCACATTAGTGTATGAAGAATGAAAAGCGTGACTTACATTTGTAGGTGCCCTCCATGGCATGTTTGCACCTTTATTTGACTCAAACTGGAATCTTTAGATGTACTGTGTTAAACGTGTTCAGCTTCTAGGAGTAGGTGTGCTCCTGCCACAGCTACCAGTAGGGTGGGTTGAAGCTATTTGTGCCAAAAGTAAGTATGTAAATCTTCCGCTTTGTGAATTCCCACTATCAGATACGTGTGCACACATTCTGTTTCAATGCATTCAAGGCTACTGTAGTAACAACAATTTGCCCATGCCTGTGCACAGAGAGAGTGCATGCGTCTGCTGGAGGGTATGCACATTAGATGCACAAATCTGTACCAAACTATTTAGTAAAAGAATTAAGAAGACTGGATATCTGCCTGGTAGCATCACTCTTTCCCAAGTGGCTTAGTGTTAAGTGTTTGCCAACTATGCAGTGCATGCCCGAGTCTTTGCTTTCCCATACCCTTTCTCCCTCTTTTTTTGCTTCTGCAACCACTCCGTGCCCAACATGAGAAGGTAATCCAAGTTAATGTTTTCTTTGGTTTAACTTGTATTTCTGTTCCTTACTCGGCTGCCCTTTTCTGATTGTAGATGAGATCTCTCTTTTATTCAATTGCTCAGTCAAGTTGAGCAATTTTAAATTCTTGCTGGGTTAAATTTGCAGTACTGAGCCCAATGCCTTTAACTATACAAAGAGAGGATTGCTTACTATACAATGGTAATTAAAAATAAGTGAAAACTCTGTTTTGTTTTTCTGTATACAAATGCCTACTATTTTATAAAAGCTGTGAATCCTGTCATCACCACATTAAAACAGGAGAGACTCACAAATGGTTAATATTATAGGACATTGGCTATTTAAATCTGCCTACTTTGAAGGTGCAAACTTACATGCTTGCCAAATAGCTTCTTTTAAACTAAATTAAAAGCAGCTGCCAGAGTAGGCCATCACAGACATCATGGCTTAAAGCTAGAGCAAAGGTTTCACTGCCTCGTGTAGCTGAGCTGAGGGCTTTTTGTTGTTTGCAGCCAGAAACCTGGTACCCAGATTGCAATGCAATTTCCCTTTAATTTAGGCGCCAGTATTAGAGACAGGAAGTTAATCCATCCTTAGTTACTGGTGGTCTAAGGGTAGAGAATGGATTTTGCGTGCTTTAGTTGATTATATTGCCAGATTTTCTGACTAGTATTGTTAATTTGTCTTCATTGTTACCAGATGTGCTGATGTGGCGACAGACATTGATATGGGTATTTGATTATAATGAAGTGCATTTTGAAGGAGATTAATTTTTCCTGAGTTAAGCAGAAAGCTATAAGTCAGTAAGACAAGAAACTTAAATTTGATTCACTCGGTAGCTCTCCTTTTTCTTTCCTTCCAATGATCCAAGCTTTTTCAGGGGGAGGAACTGGGGGCTGTGATAGCTCGTGTTTGCAACCAGACTTACGTAAGTTTTGACTTACATAAAATAACCAAAGAAAATTAAAAGCTGTAAGTACATCTTTCATTCCAGAATTAATGTTTACTCCATGTGTCTATCATGAAAAGCAAACTTTATATTCGGGGGGGCGTGAGGTTGAAAACAGTGACAATGCCGTTTTATTCCTTTCTCAACTTTTCCCTGAAATCCTTTTTGACTTCCTCTTGGAGAGTATAAAGATCCTAATCTTCCAAAGACATGCATCTCTGTACCCAAATAAATGTTCAGGGTTAATGACTGGCTTATAAATACTTCCTATCAAGTTTCTTTTTAGCATCCTAAAAATAAGAGTGACTTAAAATCTTACTTGATGCCTTAAATACCCAGAAATGCAAACGGATGCTCCTATGTTATTTTTTCTGCCAGTGTGAGTTTTCATGTTTAGTGAGAGTTGATTGTGCTTAAATGCAGTGTCAATCTATAAATTGCAAGATAATTTCAGTATCTTAATAGTTTTTTTTAAGACCACTTATGTAACCAAACATCTGTTTTAAAGGCTTGCAAGTTCTATTGCCTCCCCCCCTCCTCCCTTCTGAAGATCCAGATGTTAGGGAGCTGGTAGGTTGATATTTACACAGCTGAAATCTAAATCATAAGTTGATGTGATGGGGAAATAAATTGCAGCCAAAGCTGAGTCAAGTTTTCACTGCACCTTGGAGTCTTAGAGCGAGAAACAAGTGTTGCTGAATGACAAAACAGACATTTTGCAGTTTTATGACCAGCAGCAACTGGAATCTTGTCATGGGCTCACTTAAAACTTGTAAAATGTTCTTTAAAGGCAGTATCCTCTTAATGCTTTATACAACAAAACGTTTTGCCCAATGAACTCATGCAAACAATTGCTGATGCATAGTTTCTGAAAGTCTGAATAATTAATGCTTTTTGACAGATAAATGTACTTACCTGTTTACCAGAACCTCTCTGGAACAAGCGTTTCCTAAGTAACCTATATGTCTGAGATGACACTAGCCGAATACCTGCACAGTATTATTATTTCAAATACAGAACCTTAAGGAGCACTACAGTATTTCAGTGCCAAATGCTTTAATTTAGGATTCTTTACATAACACTAAACAGATCTTGGCAGTGCCGTAAGGAAGTGGGCAAGGAATTAAGCCCAAACTTTCTGCTGAAGAATATTACTTTTCCATCTGAGGACTTGTTAGTGTCACCAGACAGTCCTGATTTTGGTCTTCGGCTCTACTCATTGAACTGCTTCAATAAATCTTAAAGCAATGAGTTAAGATTGAAGTTCTGTTAAACATTCACAAAGACTGACATTGCAAACCTTGTCTTCTGCCAGCCTTACAAGCCAGGACTGTAACTGGGGATTGTGTTTCTTTTCAAGTATAAATGTAAGCAGAAATCTCATTTGCTATTGCAAGACTTATTGTTACAGGTGTGACATGTCAGAGAAGTGTATTTTCTCAGTGATGTCTCCTTTTTCCCTCACTTTATGTATTGCTTTGTTCTAGTGAATGTGTCTCCTGGATAGTCATTTTGCAGCTGTTTAAAATTGCTTTATTGAGAAAATAAGGGAGGGAGGAGCCTTAACCTATTTAGTGAAGGGAGGAAATCATTGTAGAACAAGGTGCAGTTCTCATACATAAGGTATTGCTTCCTTTACTCTGATATTTTAGGGAAGTGTTACAGCAGAGAATAGAAGCCATAGTGTCTTTACTTACTTATGTGGAGCAAAAACTGCTTCTCATGTTTGTGCCTAAGAATTAGGGGTCACTAGTTCAACTGAAATAGAATCATAGAATAGTCAGGGTTGGAAAGGACCTCAAGATCATCTAGTTCCAACCCCCCTGCCATGGGCAGGGACACCTCACACTAACCCATGCCACCCAAGGCTTTGTCCAACCTGGCCTTGAACACCACCCAGGTTGGAGCATTCACAACTTCTCTGGGCAACCCATTATAGTGCCTCACCATCCTTACAGTAAAGAATTTTCTCCTTATATCCAATCTAAACTTCTCCTGTTCAAGTTTTAACCCATTACCCCTTGCCCTCTCACTACAGTCCCTAATGAGGAGTCCCTCCCCAGCATCTTTATAGGCCCCCTTCAGATACTGGAAGGCTGCTATGTGGTCTCCACGCAGCCTTCTCTTCTCCGGGCTAAACAGCCCCAACTTTCTCGCCCGTCTTCATACAGGAGGTGCTCCAGTCCCCTGATCATCCTTGTGGCCCTCCTCTGGACTTGATTTTCATCATCCTGCAACACAGTGCTGTTGAAGTTTGTGGGGGTTTTTAAAGTAAATTAAGTTGATCAAGTGTTACAGACTTTTGGAAGCTTCTTCTGCTGCTTTGTTTGAGAGATGACTGTGATTGTTATTTGCACCTCAGTTTAATATGACTGATGGTTTGGGCAGTGCTCACACAGCTCCCAGACCCGAGGTACTGTTTGAGATCCTCTGCAGCAAAGGCAGCCCTGGGGTAATACCCACACAGAGAGTGGGGCTGTGGCTGCAAATCCCCTCGCAGCAGCATGCACAGCAGCCACCCCCGAGAGCCCGATCAATGTTTGTTCAGAAGCAAACCACCTTGGGTTGCATAGAAAGTCAAGGGACCCGGTTCCAACAATTCCCAAAGTGTACAGAGATCACAACATTTCTAATCACACAGAAAAACACTAGGCCCAG